TTAGATTGGCTTTTGTAAATTTTCAAAATTTTAAAGTTTCTTTATAAATTTTAGCAAAACCCCTGAGATATGATATTTCACGTCATCATTTGTTAAGCATCTAACTGTTGCTTTAGAAAAGGACCAAATTGGGCAAATAGACATAGTATGAAGAAGAAAATAGGCAAATTGATTGAGTTGAGATGTTAAACAGTGAGTCATTTTATCATATGGAACACCCGCACGAATTTAATTTCGTGGAATATTCGAGGCCGTGTGTTCGGGGATGCCCCTCAGCCACGTCCTGCGTTTGATATCCATAGCCTTGAAGAATTGTGGGGAAGCTCCCTCACCAAACCGAAAAAAGGTTATATCCGTATATACCATACAATTTAATGTGTTGTTGATAATACCTAACACATTATAACATACTTATAAACAGTGACGGATCTGAAAAACTTTCCTTGGAAGAGTAGACAACAAGTACCTATTTACCCAAAAATTAAAATATAATATTGTAAAACAATATCTTTACAAATAGGCTAATTTTCCAACTTAAACACGCTAAAACTCAAACGGGATGCAAATATTTTTTTAATTATAGGGGCCGAGTCGCAAGTTCTCAATAATATCAAATGTAATTTTACATAATTCTTATTAACATATGAATCCTTCACTGCGGATCTGCCCAAACCTATCAGTTAAACAAAAAATCGGGATAAACTAAACATACATTGACCAAAATAAGGCTGAAAAATATGCGATCCAACTAAAATAATACCATAAAGCATTGTCGAATAATTAGTTTTTCTCCCTGTTAAATTCAGAAGCATCAGTAATAATCATAAAACCATATTGCTGATTTGTAGACAAAAATCCCACTAAGCCAGATTTTTTTTTTTTTTGCAAGTTAAAAACCACAAGACCTACGCCCTGGTACTCCTTGAGTTGCCTACAGCTTGGTCTCCTGTAATTGGGAATTCAAGGTTACATACCATATACTTTGAGCGGTAAATTAGCACAAAAGTAAAAAACCTAAACACAGCTTAATAGCATGAAACTGTCAACAGTCATCCAAATAAAATAACAACCCCAAAATACTTCAGAAGGCAGACTTAAAAAAACAAAATCTATCCTTCTACACAAACTTCTGTTTGTTAGTGTTGTCTTCATTTTCGAACAGCAATAAGAAAATCCCATACGATTCACCTCTAGGTTTAAAATCTACAGATTTTCCGTACATGATCAGACCAAAAATGGAAATAATATTCCCTTCTAAATTTGAACTGAGAAATTTTGAGGGAGTTTTCCTATAGATACAATTGAATGAGCTCATCGCTTACAACTGAAGGAGTAAGAACACCAAGATCGGTGAACAGAAGAGTGAGGTATTGAGGTGGAGTGTAGTCTCTCGCTGATGTTTCTACCTCGACTCCTGAAGGAATAGGGACTCCAAGGTCAATGGGGCGAAGAGCAGGCGCTAGATCTTTCTGATCTAAAGGATACAACCGAGCAAACTGAAACAAAGGAACAAATAACATCAACATACGTTCACCATGTTTTAATACAAGGAAAGATCCAATTAGTGAACCTAATGTAGTAATAATGATATAATTCTTGCAGCTTAGCTTAAATGTGACTCACCAAAGTAAAACGCTTGCCTTTGATAATGATTGAGCATATTTATCAGGTTTCCCAAAGGGGAAAAAAAATACTTAACATAGGTGATGGTTTGCGAAGAATTGGAAATTTTAAAAGCGCACAAGATCATGCTTGTACAGTGACACTATATTTTTCTTGTGCTCCAGAATACCATGCTTTCAGATAAGAACATCAAACAATCACGCTAGAAAGCGGAAACAAATATATACAGCCATATCAATGTCAAAAAGCAATTCATTCTTTTTATAAACTTTTAAATGTTCAGAGCTTGCGATGAATTGATAAATTTTACATTTAGAAGGCTGGAATTTTTTTTTCATTTGACAGCAAATCATAGGCATCATAGCAGCAACTTTTTCATGTGACGCAAGCTATTAGATTAGAGAAAATTTTGTAAAGG